TTGATTACTTCGTCTTTAGACCAAATAGATGTATTCATTAAGTTTACCACAGCACCTGATGCAGTGTACTTGCCTATAGATATATTTGTAGATATGCTACAAAAATGTGCTGATGAAGGTACATTATCTTCGAATCCTTATTTATCTAACCATATGATTCACCTTGTGAATATTGTAGACGCCACAGCAACTACCTCACAAGTTCTGCCAATATTCTAAGAATAAATAAGATAAAAGACACATTTATGTTGTGTTCATGTTAATACAAGCAGCAAAATGGATAGATGTTGGTCTTGGAACTCCTAGAAATCTATCATTAAAAGATGAAATCTTTAAAATGATGATTTTACATTTTGCATTAATGATCGCGTTTTTAATTCTTTTCGCATTATAATTTTTTTCTTAATCAACCACAATTCATTGGAGTACGTAGCTCAATTGGTAGAGCATTGGACTTTTAATCCACAGGTCCTGGGTTCAAATCCCAGTGTACTCATAAATAAATATGAAAGTCTTTAAGAATATTAATACATCCAATCTGATTTTGCCTATCATTTTTATTTTTTTGATAGATTTTTTAATTATTATTTTTTTTTATTTTTATTTGTATCACGACCAGGTAATCTGTTTAGCTGCTGAGTTGGATTCCTTAAAGGAAAAAAATCAGCAGCTTCAAGGAGCCATTGTTGAGGCTCTTAAAAAATTAGAGGTGGCAGAGCAAGGAAAAAATAAAAGCCTCTTTTCTTCTATAGCTGGTGATGGAAGCGGCTCCTCTATCAGTCCATATGTCAAATATTTATGTGTGTGCGCTTGTGCCGTTGTGGTTATAATTGTCTGCGCAAAAGTGTGGCCCGCTCCTTTTGTAGCAATAAAAACTGGCATATCTGCGTATATTCAAAATTTTAAAGAGTTTCCTGATAGATACTGTGAATTTGCAACTACCGCCTATGACGGTACTGATTATGACTGGTTAGTTACAATATCGAAAAAGAATGTTGCGATATTTATTAAGTTATCAGACGACCCTGATACACATTACACATCTGTTATAGAGGTGATACATCTAATGGAGAAAACTATTCGAACAGCTCCAGCTAATATGCCTACTTTAATAAATATCGTAGATACCACAGCCACAGTGGCGTCACAAGTTCCACCAATACTTTAGTAATAAAAACAGATTTATGTTGTGTATATGTTATTACAAGCAGCAAAATGTATAGGTGCAGGTTTAGCTACAATAGGTTTAGCAGGTGCAGGTAATTGATATTGGAACTGTTTTTGGCGCATTGGTATTAGGCACTTCTAGAAATCCATCATTAAAAGATGAATTATTTAAGATGGCGATTTTAGGTTTTGCATTAACCGAAGCTATAGCATTATTTGCGTTAATGATCGCGTTTTTAATTCTTTTCGCATTATAATTTTTTTTCTTAATCAACCACAATTCATTGGAGTACGTAGCTCAATTGGTAGAGCATTGGACTTTTAATCCACAGGTCCTGGGTTCAAATCCCAGTGTACTCATAAATAAATATGATACTTTTAATAGAAATCTTAAGTTTAACAACTTTTTTATTTTTTACCGGTACGATTGGCGTAGCATTAAATCGAAAAAATATTATTATAACAATGATGTCTATAGAATTAATGCTTTTAGCTGTGAATTTAAATTTTTTAATTTTTTCACAACAATTTGATGATATTGTTGGTCAAATTTTTGTTTTGTTCATTTTAACAATAGCAGCGAGCGAGTCTGCTATTGGTTTATCAATACTCACATTATATCATAATACAAAAAATACTATAACATTTGATGTCGTGAAAAATCAAAATTTTAATTTAAGTACACGAAAAAGCCGGGATTTATACCCGCAGTATCCATCTTTAATCTCTTCTCAAAAAAAAAAAACCCCCGATGAAAAATAACAGAAAAAATTTAGCACAAACTTTATTTATCATTTTTCTTTTTTTGATAAATTTTTTAGTTATTTTTTATATTTATTTTTATTTGTATCACGACCAGATAATGAGTTTAACTGCAGAGTTGGATTCCTTAATTGAAAAAAATCGTGAGCTTAAAGAAACCCTTACTGAAATTCTTAAAAAACTAAAGAGGGCTGAGCAAGGAAAAAGATAAAAGCCTTTTTTCTTTTATAGCTGGTGATGGAAGCAGCTCCTCTATCAACCCATACGCAAAATATTTATATGTGTCGTTGAGCTTCCTGATAAAAATTTTGATTATACAACACCTATCTACAACAGTACTGCGTTTAACTGGTTAATTAAAATTTCGAAAGATAATATTTTAATATTAATTAAATTATCCGAAACGCCTGTGTTAGAATATATTCCTATTTTAAAATTTATATATCTGATGGAGGAATGTATTCGAACTGCCACAGAGGTACAAATTCCGTCAACACTCTAATAATAAATAAGATAAAAAACACACTTGGTGTATTCTCCAAATATAAAAATTCACAGAAACTTGCCGTAAAAAGACTTATTCCTCCTGAAAAACTATGGACTTAGATTTAAATATACGAAAAAAACGGGATTTGAACCCGCAGTCTTCGACGTGACAGGTCGACGCTTTAACCAATTAAGCTACATTTTCTTCAAAGTAATATTAAAGATTCGAATGAATTCTAATAACCTTAAAGGATTTTTCGTAATAAATAACATACAGTACAACTATCAACACGAGTTTACTGGAGATTTACCTCAAAATCGAGGTAAACAATATATATCTCTTTTAGAGTATTGTTTAAATGCAACCATTCATGTACCACACTACTGTTATCATAAACAATTATCTATAGCCGGAAACTGCAGAATGTGTCTTGTTGAACTCAAAAAATCCCCAAAACCAATAGTTTCATGCGCTATGAATGCACAATCGACTCTTAAAATGAATGCTGAAATATTTACTAATAGCCCTTTAGTTAAAAAAGCTCGAGAAAATATTATGGAATTTCTTTTGTTAAATCATCCTCTTGATTGTCCTATATGTGATCAAGGAGGTGAGTGTGATTTACAAGACCAGTCTCTTTTTTTTGGTCTAACAAAAAAAAGATTCTATAACTACAAACGTGTTGTTACTGATAAATATTTAGGTCCTATTGTAAAAACTGTAATGACGAGATGCATTCATTGTACGAGATGTGTTCGTTTCGCTACTGAAATTGCTGGTGTAGAAGAACTTGGCGTATTTGGTCGAGGTATCAATAGTGAGATTGGTACGTATATCAACAAAACATTTCAATCAGAGTTATCAGGTAATATTATTGATTTATGCCCCGTAGGTGCATTAACATCCAAACCTTATCCATTTGCTGGAAGAAATTGGGAATTAAAAAGAATTAAAACTATAGATCTTTCAGACGGCTACGGTTTAAATATACAAGTCTTTTTAAAAAATAATGTAATAGTAAAAGTATTGCCCGGTTATGATAATTTAGATACAAATAATCCTAGTATATGGATTTCAGATAAAACTAGATTTTTATTTGATAGTATTTCTTCACATAATAATGTTAACATACTTACGAATACAAGTTCGAAAGAAACAGATGATTTACTTTGGTATAATATTTTTACAAAACTTGTAATTACAATATATTTATATGATCATTTACAAAGGCACGTATTACGTGTTAACCATTTTATTGTGATGTTTGATGAAAGTAGTTCAGTTGAGGTCATAAGTATTTTACTATTACTAGAAAAAAAATACTCCTTTTTTCAGTTAAAAAGAACTCTTAAATTAAAAATTACAAACGATTTTCAATCTAGTTTTCAAATAAATGCTCTTAGACATTCTAATATGCTATCTTCTTCAAATATGTGTTTGCTTTTAAATACAAATACTAGGTATGAAAGCCCGTATTTAAATTTGAAACTAAAAAAACGTTATTCCGCAGGGAATTTTAGAACATTTTCTATAAGTTCACAAACTAATTTAACATTTCCTTCAATTAATATAGGTTCTAATTTGCAAAAATTAGAATCCGTTGTCGAAGGGAATAATAATACAGGTTATAATTTTAAACAAAGTAAAAACTTATTAGCGGTTTTAAATACAGAAATCCTTATCAGACAGGATTCTGTTGCATTAGTCAACTTATTTACAGCTTTAAACACATTTTGTTCAAAAACTTGTTGGAATATTTTCAATTTATTAAATACTTCCTTAAATTCAGTTGGTATTAGTAACTTACATTCTTTTAAAAGTCTTTCTAGAACGGATTTAAATAAAAGTAGTGGAATATTTTTTATTAATAATGGTTTAAGAACTTCTTTACTCATAAACAAGTTTTTGGAGTTAGCACTTTTAAATCACTCACTTATATATATTAATAATAAAAGTATAATAGAACAAAATTATAAAAATATGTTTTTAACATCACAAAATAAATTGAATATAAATGACTATACATTTTTACCTAGTAATACATTTTTTGAAAGTGCTGGTAGTTATATAAATACTGAAGGAAATCTTAAGTGTAGCACAAAATTGATATCAACACAACATAACACAAAAGATGATTGGATAATTTTAAGAAAATTAATTTCCGTTTTAGAAACCATAGAATTTATGTATGATATAAAAAATAATACAAGAATTCATTACAATAATAATAATATATTTAATTTTAAAAATTTGATAAGTTTCTTATTTATAAATACACAAAATTTATCAAAGTTTTCTTTTCATAGACGAACATTTAGCCAAACATTTAAAGTTATTTCCATACTGAAAGTTAAAAAACTAAAAATTTTAAGCACCCAGTTAAAAAAAACGCTTGAGGATTTTTATTTAGGAGGATTCGATAATTATAGCTATGAATCAAAAACTATGATTTTATGTTCGATAGATTTAAGAGAAAATAGTTATACATTAAGTAAGTCAAGATAAAATTAATAATTCTAAACAATTTTTATGAGAAGTTTACCACAAAGTTATCAAATAAAAGGTTTCACTTTTAATTATCAATCTGGGACAAAAGGATTCGAACCTTTGCATACTCGTACCAAAAACGAGGGCCTTACCACTTGGCGATACCCCAAAAAATAATCGTGCATTATTTTTCATCTTATTTAATTATTAATTACTTTTCGATTAGAAGATAATGCTTCAAATACTAAATAAAAAAAAATAATAACTGAAATAGCCGAAATATATGAACCCCAAGAAGCTATTTTATTAAAAATATAAAAAGCGTCAGGGTAATCAGGAACACGTCTAGGCATACCTGCAACTCCTAAGAAATGCATAGGAAAAAATGTGACGTTGACTCCAAGAAAAAAAGTCCAGAAATGTATCTGACCTAAAACTTCAGAATACCTAACACCTGTAATTTTATCAAACCAGTAGTAGATACCTGCAAACATTGTAAAGACAGCTCCCATACTTAACGCGTAATGATGTGGGTTGGGTATTCGGAGATACCCCCCTCAGATCCCGGCGTGCGACTTCCATCGCACCGGGCTCCCTTGGATATATAAATACAGAATTTCTATATTTTAATTGGTAGCGGACACAGTCCAAAATTTGATATTTTGAAAATAACTTAAAGGTAGGTTACCCATCCTGATTTGGCTTTCGTAAATACTTTCGGTCAATATCATTAGGGCTTAACTTATGCCATTCTTTGTGATGTTCTCGACACAGAGGTATCTGTTTCCTCGAAAGGGCAGATTCAACCATGGCAGATCCTTTAAGCGTTTTATTATTTGATTTAATAGATTCCACTAAAAACCCTTTTTTTGTACGTCGCAAAGCACGAACATGATGTACCTCAATATCTTTATTAGCACATTCAAGAATCGCACATTTCCCTGCGAATAAAGCTTTCGGAATTGACAATTTAATTAATGGCTTATCCAAGTCTACCATATAGTGATAAACATCACGAGATTTAGTGAAACCCCGAGTACGATGATTTACCTCATTATGAGTAAGAAAGGAAGCCAATTCATGAATTTTACCATTCGATTCCAGCTCTACTTTAGGTGATTTACCATACGCACTAATAATTTTGTGAACTTTAGAGGTATGCTTACCCGCGAGAGTATGAATTAAAGACCATCGTAAGTGATAATCCACAAGTTTTTTGACCTCATGGAAGTTGACAGCAGGTCTATAATAATTTAAAAAACCTAATGCCTTAGACTTATAATGCTCTATAATAGATACGTCATGATATCGAAATATGGCTCCGCTAGCTTTAGGTTTACCACTTTTGTCCAGCATCCCCCAAGTTTTAAGTTTATTCTTAAGATCTTTTATGGGTGCGTATATCCTAGGATTTAACCCTTGTGGTTGGCCATACATAATACGATCCACATGCATCTGTTTGTAATTAGGATTAGATTTGATTCGTTTAACTTCTTCCTCGCGGAAACTTTGTAAGTTATTCTTCTTCGCAGCAAATTCCATAGCTTTCAACAGATTTTCTCTCGCATCGATTACCTCGCTAAACCCCAGTTCTTTCAACTCCTCTTCAGGAATCCAACTAGATTCTAATTGGCGCTGTTCCCTCTTTAGTAACAATCTATATTGTTCAGTACCCGAACCTCGTAAAATCGACTGGGTATTAATTTGGTTTAAAGCATCTTTTTGAGCGATTTCCTTTATAGCTTTCAATTTATCATCCTTATTAGCTGCACCATCAGCTATGGCTTTTAGTGCTGTGCGTTTTTCAGACTCGTAAATTTTGAGCAGAGAACTCTCGTATCGCTCTACCATAACTTTTTTCCGATTAACCAAACGATTTCTGATTTTTTTAAAACTTAGTATCTTCCGTGTTTCGACGACACCTCTCTCTTCACGTTTCGGTATTTTTATATCAAAACCTAAAAAACGTACTGAGTTATTGGCGCCATGAACAAGATCCCCACCTTTCAGCGAAAAGTGCAAGTTGGACTTCAGAAAGTCTTGAGTTTTCTTCAAAATATCTATCGCAAGCCATTTGGGTCCCTTCACAGCAATAAGGTAATCATCAGCATAACGCACATAGTGAACTCTGTGGTATACCTTATCACCAGCCTGCTCATCAGTTATCGGTTTACGCGGAATGCCGGCTTTAGTAGCCATCTTAACTTTCTTCCGATATAGTTCTCGGCGAAGTGAATTTTTCCCTTTCCGAGTCTTGGCATTAGATAGTTCCGCAGCCTCAACCCAGGTTGCTTTTCTCCACTCTACAGAAGTTTGTCCTGGACTACCTTTATCAACTTCTTTCTTCAGGCGATCTATAAAATGGTCTAGTTCGTTTAAATAAACGTTGGCAAGAAGGGGGCTCAAAGGATTACCTTGCGGGACCCCTATACCTTTACTAGTATCAGGACCACCTAAATCTAGGTTTTTAACCGGCATATTGAAGAATTTATACAATGTATCAAACATAATTTGATCATCAATAGACTCACTCAGAATAGATATTAATCGTTTCTGGTCAATAGTGTCATAGCATTTCTGGATATCAGCTTTAATAAGCCAAGGAGACAAGCCCCAAGTCATTGTGACATCTAGTGCGCTATGGCATCCGCGATTGGGTCGAAACCCATGACTAAAAGTATGAAAGTATCTATCGTTAGGCAGTTTATCAAGATCTTTTTGCTTTTCAAAGATCGCATTAAGTATAATTTTAATCGCACTTGCCACAATCTTATCGTACGGTGATAATACCGTGAGAGGCCTTTTATCATTACTTCCCGGTTTAGGAATCATGACTCGCCGAGCAATTCCAGCCTGCCAAGACCCATCCCTGAGTTCTTTTGATATTTTCATAATCCTTTCAAGGTTCTTATCATCTAAGGTAGAGGAATCACCACCTTCCGTGTTAGCGCCTTTAGCCTTAATAACATCTGCATACGCAAAAATCAAGACACGCGGGTCAGCATAGACCCGGTGTAAATCTACAAATTTTTTTTTTTTATGTTGCCATTGTTTGTCAATGAGCTTCACAATTAATTCAATTCTACCAACTTCGTCCAAGTCAACTATCATATTAGGATCAAAGGTTTCATCATCCCAATCTACCGATTTGGGATAATTCAGAGGTCCACCCGCAGTGGCACCTTTTTTTATTACTGACCTAGAACCATTTTGGATAGTCTCACACGACCTCATCAAAAAAGAGGTCTCGCTATTCTCAGACTGTTCATGTATATCTAGCTTCAGATCTCGTTCCTTTAATTCTCCGGGTGTAACCGAAGACTCGATTGCTGACGTCACCTCGGTAGGGGCACTTCCTCCCTTTCCTTCATCTAACAACCTAGCACAGGCGTGAAACTGACGAACAGATCCACATCTATACCCCGCATCGCTATTTCGGCTGGGAATTTTTATCGATCTCAACACTAGTCGGTCATACGGACTTTCTTCTTCCTTCAAGGGCAAATTAGCAACCTTAAAAGTCGTCCAGACCTCTCCTAATAAATGGTGATTTAGGAAACCACAAACAGTCTCTGTAATATCGAACAAGTGGGCGATAACATAATAAGTATCATGTAATGATATATCAATTCCGGAATTAGCTAATACAACACCAGTAACCCCACCAATAGTAAATAAAAAAATAAAACCTAAAGCGAATAGAGCAGGTGTTCTTAAATCGATAGAACCTCCCCATAATGTAGCTAACCAACTGAAAATTTTAATCCCTGTTGGTATTGCTATTACGAGAGTTGCCGCATTAAAATATGCTCGAGTATCAATATCTAATCCTACTGTATACATGTGATGACTCCAAACTATGAATCCTAAAACTCCAATAGAAATCATTGCGTAAATCATGCTTAAATACCCGAATATTGGTTTTCGAGCAGCACTAACAACAACATGACTTACTATACCAAATCCAGGTAAAATTAGTAGGATGGGCTGAAAGTCCATGCTTAGAAAACTCAAAACCTTCCTCCAAACCGTACGTGAAGGTTTCCCTTCATACGGCTTTCCAGAATACTTTTCAAAGTTAACAATTTCTCTGTTAGTTAAATCTATTTTTTCTACAAATTTTTTCAATCTACTATCAGTTACATTAAGTTCAATCCTTTTACTGAGACTAAAAATAGGTCCAAAATAAATATCCAAAATACCTGATATATAAATACTTTAATGATTTTGATCGTGTATTATTTAAAATTCTTAATAGATTTAATAAGTTTTTCCTTCTCTTCCTCACTAAGAGTTCCCTTATGGAGACTCACATGATGTTCTTTGCAGAGAGGGATCTGCTTTCGATTGATAGCCAAGAGTTGAAGTTTCCAAAAATCTAGATTCCCCTGTTTGTATTTAGACTTCAAATCCTTTATCTGGCGAAGGTGGTGCATTTCACTAGGAAACTTACCGCAAACTAGACAGCTCTTAAACAGGTTCGTTCGTGTAAATTTGTTATTCCATCTTCTTTCTAGGATGACTCTAGGATCTTCTGGATTAATGAGAAACTTTTGATCTCGTCTGAAACTTTTAGGAATATATATTTCCACTTTTTTTACTGGACATCTCAGAGTAGATCCAAATTTCTTAAACACTTTCGCTCTATGTCTAAGTTTTAACTTAAGTGCTAAAGTAAGAGCACATGAGTGTTTAAGCCCGTGTACAAATTGTCCCAAACTTTTTTTATTATCTACAAAAGAATAATAATTTAGAATTCCACGGATTTTTTGATTGTAAAATCTTATTATATCCGCGTGGTCTAAATTGATCAAACGACCACAGAAAGTAGGAACAAATCGACCTTCCGACGTCCTTTTAAAGAAGCCATTTTCTAACCCTCTCTTGAAAAGAACAATTAAAGGCATTTCTAATCTCGTCCTCGAAGTTGATCTAACTTTTAAACGTTTTTGGTTCCGAAAAATAAAATGCACTTTCTTTTCCGATTCTTGATTACCTTTTATATATGTTCCAAGAAAATTAACACCTTGCCGGTTAAAGTGTGTTATATGCGTTTTATCTAGATTAAGGGTTAAATAAAGAGTATCTAGTAAGAAATTTTTGACTAAAAGTCTAACTTTTAGGGTGTCGCATCGTTTACCAATAACCCCGATCAAAAAATCATCAGCA